TGGATACTTTGCTGTGTATTTGGTCTTAGGTCACTGGTGGGAAATAGAGCTGTCCATTGTATTAGGTAAAACCTTTCAGGTGATGCTCATTTGGGAACTTGTAAGAAAGCTTGTGTAAAAACTTGTTTATTATTTTTGTGGCAGCATCCTAAGTTAATTTTGTTAGTGCAGATTCAGTGCAGATTTTAGTTAGTGGGAGTCTCTTTTCTCCATTATTAATTACTACTTGTGTCTCAGGTTGTTTCTTGTCATATATATTAGTACAAGAGGTTCCAGTTGTTTCAAGCCTTTAAGAGAGGCATTGTTTCTTGGTTTTGGGTTTGTTTCCTCTTCCCCTGCCTTGGTATAGGAGGTGAATCCCTTGCAGTAATTTTTAAATTACTGCGAACAGGCTACATTTTCTCCACTGTGTTTTGTGAGTACTTTGTGAAGTAGTTTGTGCCCTTTTCTGTTTGTGGACTCAGGTTCAAAAGTGTTGTTTTGGTAACTCGTGTCTGGTTTGTTCATTACTATGTGACTTGACTTGATCTGTTTTTATTTTTGACACCTTTAAAATATCACTAGGAAGGAAACTGTCCGTGATGTCTGACAGGACAATACTGAGATTCTGTTGAAAAGTCCTTTCATGCTCGGTAAAGTTTCACAAGCAGAATACAAAGTTACATTGCATAACTTTTTACATTCTTTTTGTAAAAAAGAGTAACATCAAATAGCATAAGTGCTTGTTTTAGTTACCTTTTAGAACATGACAGCTGGAAATGAAGAGCTAAAACCAGGTTGGGTTTTGCCTCTGAAACTTAAAAGCAGATGGAATTATTAGACATTGCAGTGCTTAGCAAAATAGTTTTTTGAAGGCAATGAACCATCTTTAAATGCCTGCAGCCTTCCTGTACTAGATGAAAAACACCTCTATCCAGCAACTTTTTCATGTTTACCTTGTACCAGTTGGTGAAAACTTGGAGAAAATGCAGGAAATTAGTGGAGAACTAAAATGCAGGGTAGTCTGTTTCCCAGAAAATGATGATGTCCTGCTGTTCCAGGTGACCATAAAGAGAGAGGTGCTAGAGCTAACCTCTTCTGTTTAATGGCTCTGAGCCACACGTTTAGTCTTCAGTATTAAAAATTTTGAATACATCACCTTCTCTTTTAGCCTCTATATGTTAAGGTTACTTCTATAACCATTTTAAGGTGTGATTTTTATTCCTTCCATATCCAATTCCTGTTTCTGTAAAGCAAGCATTGCTCAATAAGGAAGATGTGTTGAAATAAACAAAAAAATCGTTTTAGACAGTTTTCACAGCATATTGGGAAAAGGGCTTCTGCATGTACGGTTGCATAAAAAAAGTGATGTCATTGCTTAAGTGTTTGTGTAGTACATATTTCTGATTAGTAAAGAATGTTTTTACACTGAATTTGGTAATAAATCTGTGTACTTGAAAGCCAGTATATTTTATAATTACCAACCTATGCAAATCAACATTGCTTCAGGAAAATATAGAAGTACAAATGTAATACAGAATTAAAAGCTTTCAAATACAGTTCACAAACTAAAATTACCTGTTCCAAATAGCAGTGATTTTAAATTAGTTTATTCTGAGTGGCATAAATTGAATTAATCAAATGTTGAAGTTCTTCAGGGTTTTACACTGTTGTTGTTGCTGTCTTGTCATAATGTTGTGCATCAAAATAGAACCCAGCTCCATGACTTGACCTATTGCTTTGCACTTCCCCACCTGATTTCTCTCCCCAGAATAGAAGTAGTAAGGTGAAATAATCTCTCTAGGGCAAGTTGAAGACTGGGCCATATTATGTTGCAGAGCAGTGGATCAGCAGCTATCTATGCTAACAACTAAAACCAGCTGTGCTTTTTATTCTGGCTCTGCAGCCAGCTGGCACTGAGGGAAAGCCTGTGACCTTCCAAACTAGACTGGACACGTGGTAGCTGCTTGTGGGGTCCCAGGTCCATGCACACACCTGAGACATGCTTGGAAGCACCCAGAGCGTGTGAGGTGCCCTGGGTCAGTGCTGTTCTCTAGTGGGGAGACAGTGAGGTCCTTCAGCACCCCTTCCTGTAGGAGTGTGGACTTGGCCTCGGTATCCTAGGGCATAGTAACTTGCTGATGGGGCAGCCAGGAGGTGAATGAATGCTGCTGCTGTCTGAGGTCACTCACTGCCTGTCTGCTTTATCCCTTGGTCACCATTTCAGATGCCACTTGGTACAGGGCTGCAAGGTACATATATCTCTCCCACAAGATTTATTTGAATAACCTGTAAAATAAGAAGGCAGTTACTGTCTTGAGGGCAGGTTTTACTGAGATGTGGAGGCTTTTGTGGTCTTAGACCTTATTAATGATCTAAACAAGTGCTTCAGTTTGTCCATAGTGAACATCAAGACCTGAGAGTAAAGGAGAAAAATAGCCAGAATACTAAGTGTCCATTTCAGTTGAGAAATAGATATCAAATTGTGTTAGCTGGAACATGTTTAAAAAAATCTGTAATACTGAAGATTTTAGGACAGAGATAGAACAAGTCCACTAAAAATAAATCTCATCTAATCCTACCATGTAAAAGCTGTGTGTAGGAGGTTCCAATTTAGTTGCATTTGTAGAAGTGGTCTTAATATTGTTACACTTTGATAAGAGAAATTGGTATTTAACTGTAAATTTTATTGCATTCAGCGGCCTTATTAGTAAAAAAACCTAAAACTTCTGCTGAGTTTTAGTGTAATTCCACAAACTTCTTGCAACATACTACATATTGAGGTAAAGAAATGCTACCAGAATTAGTGAAATCCGTATTGATTATTGCTAGTGGGATTTAACAGATGGAAACAAAGGGAGCAGCACCACGAGGCTGTGCACTGCTGTGGTAGTCTGAAACCCCAGTCTTATAACTTTTAATAAGTAAATAAATTTATTTTGACATTTGAAAGAATCTTTATTCTGGATGGAAAGATGAACTGAGGGAAGGAAGAAACATTTACTTACCTTTTTCTTTAGGGTGAAAATAGTATTTGCGGTTACTTCCTCATACGTAGTGTATGAAATGTGTGTCTATGAATACCTGGAGAGCTAGTTTAAGGGGTCAGCTAAAATGTTGCATTAAGTGCATTAGTAGTCGCCACCCATACACTCAGCTGGTATAAAAAAGTTGATTTCCTAGGTACAAATAAAAATACGAAAAGAAAGAGACAAGAGAAAGGGCGGTGTCTTCACTTATTAAAGGTTTGAATAGCATAAAAGTATTCATGAAATGGGAAAAAGCTTCCATACTTAGTTTGGCAAGAAAAGATAGTGAAAATAATAAAGTATTAGATAAGTTTTGCCCATTGCTCGCCCTGTTGCCAAAGTTGATCTGGTCTTGTTTAAAGCCCCCCAAAATGCAACTGTATGTTTCAGAGCCGCAGGTGTAATTTTTGTACTATGTTGACAGTAAGTGCTTTCAAAACAAAGGTGATCTACAGTTTTTCATGTAAAGGATTTCATTTGACAAAAGTGTGCAAAATACAAGTTTGTGTTCATCTCTTCATGGCCCAGTGCCCCCGGTGTTGAGTGCAGCTCTTTTGTGTGGTGCGCTTTTGTAGAGTGATGCTCTCTGCCTGTGCAGTCACGCAGTCCCTTGTGTGAGCGGGTGAGCACAAGATGCCTTTGCGAGCAGGTTCCACTCCAGTAGCTTTGTCCATGTGCTGAGAGTGGGCTCTGTCTGTGGGGTGTGTGTGTCCCACTCCCTCAGAGCCACTGGGCTTGCTCCTGGCTGGCCACCCAAGCGGCGCTGGCTGCTTTGAACTGGTTTGCTCTGAAGCAGAGAGGCTCTATTCATCTATTCTGTATTGCACTTGGCTGTGAGCCACAACTGGGTCCTGTATGCTGCTCCTGTGACCTCAGGGAATGAATTTTTCTCTTTCTTTTAAGTTTGGAGTGCTTGAAACAACCTACATGCTTGATGTTTTGACAGTGTGAACTCAGGGATTGTATGTTAAATTCCATGAGGATATATGCATTGATTGGAAAGCCTGTTGAGAAGTTCTTAACAGATTGGGTAGGACAGAGGGCAGTCACACAAGCATGCATTCCTACCATGTTTTTGGGAACAGCTTCTGGAGGGAAGTGTTCCCAGAACTGTGCCTAGTCTTTGTCTTTGGAGAAGCTGTTTGGAACAATGCAGGTGGCTGCTCTCTGGTCTCCCATGTGTAGCAGGTTAGGTGTGTGCTGGAGGTACAAATGATGGGAAGAACTGGTGTGCCATTGCGGGCACTCCTGCCTGGACTGCTGTGCCTCATCACACTCACACAGAGCTGGCCTTGGAGCTTCACTGTAAGCAGGCTGTGGAGCTCTGCTGCTGCCATCTGGAGCCAGGGCTGCTCCTGCCTGCTCAGTGAGGGTGTACACGGCACAGCAAAAATTGTTTCTCATGATTTTAAGGGACAATGTGGTAATTGCGTGGTCATATTTATCTTTCTTTCTCAGATTTGAAGGTCTATATTTAGAAGTTAAAATGAGTCTGTACAATGCATAACATGCATGCGGGCACTGTCTTGTACCTGTGCGGTTCTCCTGTGCAATCATTAACAATGTGTTTTACCATTTGGTGACTTTTGTCTTGCTTAACAGCCGTGCATGACACTTGTTTGAAGAAATACACATCTTTTCCCTAAGAAGCAGGCAAATATACCAATCATGCCTTTTATATTTTGACTTGCTTTAAATTGCATTTATTGCCAGTTGAGATCTTGTCGTACAAACTTGTCATATATCTCCTTGAACATCATTTGGTAGTTAATTTCTCTATGAAAATACAGAGAAAGCATACTAGACTCCTGAAATCTTACAGTAATATTTCAGATATTACTCCAAAGGATGAACCATTTCCTCCAGCTTAAAATATTAAGCCAGCATTGCTTCAGCTTGCTTTGCAAGGCTTAACTATATCTGCAGTTATGTAAGTTTCAGTTATGTGATATTTCATGGGCATCTATTTAAACATACAACTATTATTTTTAGTTGAAATATAGACTATATAAAGACTTAAAAGATGTGGGATCAAGGTGGACAACCTTGGCAGCAATGGCCTTTGAACCAACAGCAGTGGATGCAGTCATTTCAGCACCAGCAAGATCCAAGTAAGTATATAGAAAGCTTTGTGGATTAATTCTTATAATGTGTTGTCATTTAAATTTTTCAGTCTTCGTAACAGAGTATGACTCATAGTTGCCTTTGTAGCTGCTCTCAAGATAATACGTTTATGATGCTTTTCTGAACTAGAAAACATACAAAGGTTCCAAATATTTTCACACAGTTAATATAAAATATGCAAATACAAGCAAGAAACCTGAGTTATCCTACACAATTTACCAACATTTTACCGGTCATACAGATCAACATTTAGACCTCTGTTACCAGATATGTATCCCTGTCAGTTTTTTAGCCAAGCTAAGTACTTTTTTTTTTTTTTTTTAGAGAATCTGCTTCTTTGTTCAGTACCTGTGTGGCAGAAGTATTAATGCAGATTATATATACAGAAAAAAACCTCAAAAGTTTTGGTGTATGTACCAAAAAAAACCTCACTGGAAGACCAATATGGTTCTTCCATATTTAGGTTACAGCAGTCATAATCATGATCTCTTGTTTGAATTTTTGCCCCACTAAAACCACAAAGTGCTTTAAAGAGTAAAACATAATATACCTTAAATTGAGAATGACGTGGCAACAATTCAAAATATCAAGAGAAATAGAAAAATGGATGAAAGTGCAGGTGTGTATTTAATACTAAGGCAAAGTGATCAGGCACACAGGTTTTACTGTCACTTTAATTTCTGTTAAATTCACTGGAGAGTTTTCCTAATTTGATAATAAGCAGAAGATATACTAGTGTTCTTATCTGAGAGTGCAATTTATATATTTACTGATAGGAATGGCAGTAAAGAAAAAAAATGGGAGAGAGAACTGTAACATAATATCTGGCAAGGGTTATATGAAGAGGGTATGCTGAAGAATAATTTTCCAACTGTATATCTTTCTTTATTCTCGAAACTTCATGAATTTGTATTATAAGGATATGTATATTAATTTCTGATGTCAAAATTAGCTCACATATGAAAAAAGTGCATTACTACCACCCATTCAATGCTAATGTGAGTGTAAAATAATCTGCCTTGTGACATTTTGAATATATGCAGAGAAACTGTACTTCAGCAAGTCTGTACACTGACATTTGCTTTGTTTCTTTTACTGTACATTGTGAATGAGTTTAAATGGTGCTCACAGTGCTTGCTGAAGGTAAACGTTGTCCATTTATCTTGAGCAATAAGACATGTAATTGAGAAACAGTGTTAAACTTCAGACGTGTGAGTTCTAACCTTTTTAACTTCCTCTGTTTATTTTAGGCCAGATTGACTGGGCTGCATTAGCTCAAGCATGGATTGCTCAGCGAGAAGCCTCAGGGCAACAGAATGTAGTGGAACAACAAGGAATGATGCCAAATGGACAGGATATTTCAGGAATAGAGTCTGGTCCAAACAACCATAATAATTTTCAGGGGGATCCCAACTTCAACAGAATGTGGCAGCCAGGTTTGTTTCCCTTCCTGTTAATTCCTTTTTTTCGTGTTTCTTCATTTTATTCTTGTCAGACTTTTTTATGGTGTGAACATGCCCTGTCCCTCAGGCTTCAAAATTAAAAACTACCAGTTGACTTATTAATCACAGCTCCTACTTAGAGAGCTACTGTTGGCTCTCCTGTAGTGTAACACCTGCTTCTGGCATGATCTTGACATGTAGAATGAGTTCACAGTGTAACTGATGCTGGCTTTAAATGTCATAAAATCTTTAAAAAGGAACATCAGCGAAATTCTGTATGAAAAATCCGATTTTATTGTGTTTCATGTACTTAGGATTTACCCTTTTTAACTTAGGTATCTGATTGTCAGCATTTTTCAGTCATTGTAAGTTAAAGTTGATTGGATGCTTCTGTTAGTATCAATTTTTCTCTGTATTTTTTACTTCCTCCAAACTTTATTTTTTCCCAACAATTAATTTTCTTTTTAAAACTTGACTAGATACCACTGGTAATAAGAATGGGATAGAAATGGGTTATTTTCTGCTAAGAATTTTTCTGAAATTGTTTTCTGAAAGCTGGGTTATAACAGTATACTATAATGCAATTTGAAGTGTATGAGCAACACCGTAAGCCTAGGTGAATGTCCTAAGTTGTTTTGGGGAAAACTCCACTTCATGCTTGGTTCTGTTAATGGTAGAAAGAATAACTCTCCCAGTTTTCACTGTCATTATCCAAATTTATTGAAACACAACATTTAATATAAGTAGGCTTAATATGTTATTGGTAGTTCTTACCATGTGCGTAATAAAAAGGAGGCAGCCATCAGGTTTCTTTCACCTACCTGCACTAGGCTACAAGTTATTGTAGGCACATGTAAGAATTTTTAACTTTTCTATGTGGCAGAGTGTATTTTAGCTGTATTTCTGTACAGTAAGTAGAAATTTACACAGAAGTAGAAAAGCTATAATAACACTTTTTAGTTGCTACAGCAATAGATCCAATTATGATGCAGATGGGAAGGACAGTAAAAATTAGAAAAATGTACTAAAGGACTGGATAGAAGGTAGGAATTAACCTGAGAGGCTAGATACTAATTCTGTTACTGGTGAGAGTTATAAGGCAGCTCTGTCATGGTCTATAAGTATCTGTATAGTGCACATAATTTTTGTCTTTTTAAGGAGTCAGTCAAAAATTATGACCACACGAGCTCTTAATTCATTCCTTAGACCTTTTTCACTCTGTTAGCCAATTGAAACTTATGTTTGAGGGCTTATGGCTGTAGCTTGTTCTAGGACCTGTGCTAGATATTGGGCAATCCAAGAAATCATCCATTATCAGGACTCAAGACTTTGGAGCACAGGTTTCAGTGGTTGTGCTGCTTACAACATCATTTTCTTTCCATAGGAGGTATTTCAAGTCTATTATGCAAAATAGTAAAATAGCTCCTTGCTTTCAAAATTGATGTAAAGAAGTAGGAGAGGTTAATAGTTTAGCCAATTTGTAAGTCTTGTGGTGAACTCACTATTACTAGAAATTTATAAAAAATTTGCAGGATGTCTGTGCCTGTCCAATTCCGTTCCCTGTGTCAGTTCAGCTATAGCTGTTTGTATTTCCTTCATTTAGTTGAAGAAATTGAGACAGTATAATACAGTCTGCAGATTGATGATTCTTCCTTGCTTTATCATCTGTGATGCTTTGAGGAACCTTGTGATAAATACAAGAACACTGAGTGATTGGTGACTCATATAAATTATACTAACTTGGTATCGAATTGTATTCTGAATCCTAAACAGAATGGGGAATGCCTCACCAACCCCCTCACCCACCTCCAGATCAGCAGTGGATGACTCCAACCCCCCCAGGTCAAATGGAAATTGTTCCTCCGTCAGAAGACAGCAACAGTCAGGACAGTGGGGAATTTACTCCTGACAACAGGCATATGTTTAACCAGAACAATCACAACTTTGGGGGACCTCCCGATAACTTTGCAATGGGGCCAGTGAACCAGTTTGACTATCAGGTGAAACATATTTGTTGCTTTAATATTGTAGGCGCGCAGAGTCCCTTCCATGGATGTGTTCCTCTAATATCATCTAGCGGCGACTTTCATTCTTCAGTTCTACAAACATCTACAGAATCTGTTATCTGCTAAGATACATTTTAACCAAACATTTGACAGAAGATACTTTAAAGTTTTTCAGCTCTGTTCAGAGGCTAAAGGGTTTTATTTTTCAACAGTATTAATGAGAAACGGCTGTTGTCTGCAATATTAAAATGCATCACTGTGTTCCAGTATATAAATTAACACTATGTAGCTTTGTGTTTAAAAAAAAAAAATGAGGACAAGGAAAAGAAAATTAAGAAAGATATGCTTAAATACACTAGATAATGTACCACAGGAAACAGTCCTGTATTTGCAGGGAGATAGACTGGATGATCCATTGATCTTTTCCATAGCTATCTATTGTGATTCTTTGAATAAACAATGGTATTTCTAAAAAAAAAAATAAATCCATATCCACTTTTTTCTTCATTCTGGCATATAAGTTGTATAGTATAATAAACATGTAGGTGATTTTGTTGCTAATAATAGCAGGGTGCATTGGACAGATATTTAAACAGGAAAAGGTTTTGTATCTTCCCTCTATTTTCAGTATTTTTCTTTCAGAACTGCTGATATAAATGACAAACTAGCTGTCTAAAAACCTACCTCCTGTTCATAAACAAATACACGGGAAGATGGGCAGAAATTTTTTTTGTTATCTTCTAGGCTATTTTTTTATCTTCTAGATTATTTTTCCTCTTACAATTATCTTGTTCAACAGTATTGTTAAATAGGGAACTAGTAATTTTACAATACGTGAGTTTATTATAATTTTTGGTTTTTGTCATAGGACAAACTCTTAAAATTATGTTCCCTAAATTCTACAGAAAACTTGTTTTGCATTGAATGAAAGTGAGGTGCTTAACCTGAAATTGTAGTGAAGAGTGCCTTAGTGGTAATCACTTAAATACTCAGTGGAATATTTGATAATGTACCCTTTTCCCTGAATACCCTCTTCTTAAATAGTTTCATTTGGCATTTCTGGGCAGTAAATATTAAAATAAAAAACTCCTCATATATGCCTCAAGATCTGTGACTTTTGAATTGCATACAGATTGCCCAGAACCCAGGATCTGTACTAAAATTGCATCTTATGCATTTAATATTTTAAGCAGTGATATTAGTAAGATCTGTGAAGGATTACTGGAAAGTGCACAGTGCAAAATTCTTATGTAATAAAAGGCTGAACTTTAAATTTTTGTTTTTGTGCTGTAGTTAAAAGACTGCTAGCATAGCTAGACTCTTAAATCTGAGTTTTGTACACTCTTTATTTAACTGCATGCTCTGATGCTAAGCTGGCAAGGAACTGATGGAGATAGATGGTGATTATAGAGCTTAATGTTTAGCACAATATGAAAGGAGATTGGTTGAAGCCCTTTCAGGTTTGTCAAGTATCTCTGCTTAAGTCCAAGTGTAGTCATTAAATATTTAAAAGAAACTTGCTTCTTGGGGACCACAGTGAGAGAGAGATCTCAGTAGCATAGAAATCATGGATTCCTACTTGCATGGATTTTTGTAGACCGACTTGCTCACATGCTGCATTTAGTGTTACCATGTGAAGAAAAATAAACTGCATTACTCTTTCAGCATGGGGCTGCTTTTGGTCCACCTCAAGGTGGATTTCACCCACCTTATTGGCAGCCAGGACCACCAGGGCCACCAGGTCCTCCAGCACCTCCTGCACCTACTCAGAATCGAAGGGAAAGACCCTCATTCAGAGATCGACAGCGTTCACCTATTGCGATGCCTGTGAAGCAGGAGCCTCCCCAGATTGGTACATGTTAACCACTCCTTAATGAAAAAATTTAAAAGCTGTATTTTATAAAGAATTGCAAAATTTGAAGACCTTTTTCTTTTTAATAGCAAGTAAAAGAGCAGGGAAAGAAAAAGCAATTATAAATGTTTTTTCCCCACAATCAAATATGGGACTTGTTTTGATGGGGATAGGGGGTTTACTTCTTTGTTTTGGGGGATATTTTTATTCCTTTTTGTGGGGAGAAGGCTTTTTCATCTTGCAAAACTGTAAACCTTGCTTATGTAGATGCTGTGAAGCGTAGAACTCTGCCTGCTTGGATTCGTGAGGGCCTGGAAAAGATGGAAAGAGAAAAACAGAAAAAATTGGAAAAAGAGAGAATGGAGCAGCAACGTTCACAGATGTCTAAAAAAGAGAAAAAGGAAAGTGAGGAGGCTGAAGAAGGGGATGGCCCACGGTTACCTCAGAGAAGTAAATTTGTAAGTATAAGGGCTTGTTTTTTGCTCAGGTTTGTATTTCCTGAAAGGTATCAACTTTTTAGTCTCTTCAGCGGAGAGATTCTGTGTTCCTGGTTATCTCATTGGTTTTGTTGCTTAAAGTAAGGTTAAGCTGCTGCTCTGTTGATAATTACTTGATGTTTTGAAGGTTTTAATGGCTAAGAGGTAGAAGTATATAATTTGATAGGTAATTGCAAAGAAACAAGGATGAAATTGGACTTGTTGTTTTTGGGGTTTTTTCCCTTTTGGAATGTACAGAGCCTTTGAAAGTCAGAATTCCAAATCAGCAGCTGAAAATATTTGGATACTTGCATTTGCTAAACTAAGCCAATTTAGGAAACCTTGCATTGCGTTCATTTTAGCAGTTATCTTTTTTTGTAATCCAAAGTACATGTCTGGCAGAGAACTGACAACTAAGTAGTTTCTTAGCTTGTGTGGGTACGTGTACCTGCATATTTTTTAGGAAGGGAGAAAATAAATGGTTTTATGATAACTTGTAATACAGATTTCAGTACAAAGTAAATGAAGCTTACTATTAAAAATAGAAACTAAGGAGCTTGATATTTAAGTTTTTCCTGAAATGCGTGATGCTGTTCTTGCAGGACAGTGATGAGGAAGATGAAGATGCTGAAAACACAGAAGCTGTAAGTGTTGGAAAAGTCAGCAGGAGTCCATCCCCAGCTCCTCAAGAGGAGCAAAGTGAACCAGAAATGACAGAAGAAGAAAAGGAGTATCAAATGGTATTAATAATGTAGTTCTCACTAAGTATTTCTGTTTAATTGCTCATACTTTTCAGGCATATCAAAGTAAATAACTTTTTCTATCCCTGATGCTGTCAACAGAGGTATAGTATGCATTGTACAGTAAAGCAGGGTTATATTTGCATGTCTGTTCATAATGCTGTCTTTCTCATAGAAACAAGGATATCAGTTATGTAACTCATATTTAGCACAATAGTGAAAGAATGTAATGACTGTAATCTTTGCATTGGTCTTTACTAATTCTATGGGTTTGCTTCACTTACCAAATTTCTGAAAACTTTTAGTGATTAAATGCACCCATTTCATATCTGTGCTTCAGCCTCAGTTCCTGTAAAAGGGAATTTAGCAAATGTATTCTTGCAAGGAAGTGCTACAACCCCAAATCTTAGATCACCAACAGTTTCACTGTGTCTGCACAACCTTCATGCTTGTGAATTCTTGTTAATTAAGGCCCTGAATTCTACTAAGTTTGGTGAATATATTTTTGTAGAGCACGTGGCCAGACATAAATGACTTGGAGAACTAGCTACCACCTCAATTTTTTTTCAATTTTTGTAGAAAATATGTAATAATAAAATGCTGCATAAGTAACATCTGATGATCTTTACAGGCAGCATACCACTCAGAAAAGTGCTCTTTATTTTTTGAAAGAATAATTGGAATCAAAGTACATTTCTGATTTACACATTCATTGTTATAATCATTTTAGACATTAAGATCAGTGCCCTGGATAGCTGTGTGCAATACATGCAGACACAGTTCACAGTCAAAATAGAAAACTTTAGAGTTATGAGATCAGGTCACATTTAAACAGCTTCAATATATTTTTTTTGTTTTTTAGCCATGTCTTTTGAAAGAAGTTATTAAATAAAATATGCAGGAGATGACTTTCATAGTCATCAAAAGAAGTGAAACTGTATGGATATAATTTGAATGCAGCATTTATTCAAGATGTTTTGGCCTTTAATTGTATATGCAATTTTCTTCAGATGATGCTGACAAAAATGCTGCTGACAGAGATTCTCTTAGATGTCACAAATGAAGAAATCTATTATGTGGCCAAAGATGTTCACCGTAAAGCAACTAAAGGTATGATGGGTTTGGAAGGGTTTTTCTTTTTAGTTTCTTCTGCGAAAATTCTGTATTTGCATGTCTTTAGAACATTTAACCTCCATAGTTCTCCCTTAAGAACAATTCCAGTATAATGCATCCAACTTGGTAGAGTTCAAATCCAGTAATCATGTACTGTTGTCCTGTGCAGTGTATTGTGAGTTACTTGAGTTATTCCATTCTTTTCATACAATTCATTTCAGTTAAAATGGTACCTGTGTGTCAATGGCTCTTGAGTTGTAGCTGTTCCTTACTACGATCATCTTTATCTCAAAGCTGTTCAGAAGTGAAAAGAGATGAACTTTGAGTCTTTAATTAGTAATTAATTTGCATTCACTATTAACATGTATTGTACTTACAGAACAGATTATTTTAATATAATAGAGATAATCTAAGTATGTAACTACTGAAGTTGAAAATTATGTGCAGATGCTGTAACTTGGAAAGTGATTCATGAGTATATATTTGGGTTTTTTCTGCTCACTGTTAATTTGCAGTTAAATTCTAAATCTTCATGGTCAGAAAATCTAGAAGTGGTTTTAAATGGATGATGCGTTTTTAATGTTTCTTCTCTCCCTCCAAAGAACAGCAATAGTAGTAGATTTAACAATACCATAGACTCATGACTATGAAATCGTGGCTATTTGTGTTAACATGTTGTTCCTGTTGTTGATGTGATACAAAGCTCCTGCAAAACAGCTGGCACAGTCCAGTGCACTGGCTTCCCTCACTGGACTCGGTAAGTATGTTCCTTATTTTTGAGAGGGCTTAAAGGGGGAGTTTCACTTTTGCCTTGCATTTCTAGAAATTGCATTTTGAAATTAGATTTTAATTGCCTGGGAATAGGGGTCACTTTCTGATAACTTTATCATTATCAGCACCTTTGTTTGTTCCACAGGTGGTCCTACTGATATATAAGTGGGATAGTTGCTGGAGTAAAGAACTAGGCAGTGTGATTTAGTGTATGAGAATCTTGCCCTAAATTTGAAAATACTTGAAAATTTTAGATAAATTTACTTGTCAAAGTATTATAGTTTCAGAAGCACACTGCAGCCTTCAAAGAAAGGAATACTATTTCATACTTTTCTTCTGTTTTGATCCATATGAACCAGAGGGGAAAGTTGATAGAAGAGTAATGTGAAAGACAATACATGAAAATATTATAATCTTTGTAATTATTATTTTATTGAAAAGCTACATAAACACAAAGGCTCTTGTATACTGCCAGAAACAACACAGGAAAGAGAGATTGAAATTCCAGCTTGAGACACAACTGCAAGAGATTTCTCCCAGCATGACTTTTATCGTCTAAAATGTACTACAGCAGTGTCAGTGATCAGTTATGTGTTCATTACATGGAATATTGATGAATTAGATTGAATGTTATCATCACAAGTATTCATGTTTCAAAACTATCGCAGTAAAGATCCTAAGGACCTCAGACTGAAAGAAATCCATGTCAGATGTTTAAACTGACTTTATCCTTACCAGTCCAGTAGTTAAATATCTCTAGGGGAGAAGCAAGTCTGTTTCTATTCCATCTCCATACCTGTCAAAGTGCAGTGTTTTCTTAATCATATGGAAAAAATTGATACGGCATTCAGAATTTCTGTAGCCTTGGACTACGGAGGCAGCTGAAGTAATTTCAGAGATGTCTTCTGGGAAAGATCCCAGGCATTTTCTGTCCCATTGCTGATACAGAGGCAGGGCATGTTACAGTCTCCACAGGGAGATTTTTTGCCTTTCCATACAATGCAAAAAGTACCATGGTCACAGTGGTTGCTTGCTGAAAATAAACGAGCTGTTCCAGAAGGAGTAGAAGCAGACAGTGACCATCAATGCAGTTACGGGGGCCTTGAACACACTGGCAAACAGCACTGGCACTTACCAGAATAAAGTGGCTTCTTCAGAGACAAGGAAGTGAAGGAAGGGCAATGTTACTCTCCTCTTTGCCTCACAGAAGTATTAAGAACAAAGCTTAATCTTTCCTCGTGATAGACTGGACTTTATGCACGCAGGTGGACTGGGTGGTTATGGATCAGGAGACAGTGAAGATGAGAGGAGTGACAGAGGCTCTGAATCATCTGATACTGATGATGAGGAATTACGACACAGAATAAGGCAAAAACAGGAAGCGTTTTGGAGAAAAGAGAGAGAACAGCAACTACTACTAGAAAAACAGCTAGAAGGTAAATCATATGATGTCTTCTTACTGTACCATTGTATATGGAGTTTACTACTTAGTGTATGTAAATTGATGGCAAAGAAGCACGTTTTAAGCAAAAAAATTATGAAACTATATTTATAAATGATGTTTTTTAAATTCAAATTAAAGAAAACCCAAACCCTGTGATTTACTTCTGCTTCTCTGTACAAGGTAAGGTTTGTCCTTTTGTACAAATAATGTAGGCCAAAATGGTAGCACAGTCACCTCCCAGTGCTGAAGAGCTATCTAAAGATGGATGCAATGTTAAGTCATGAACCAAGTTCACAGGCTGGAGGAGAAAGTGCTATCACGATAAACTTCAAATTTATGGTTTCTTCCTTTAACTTTTTATTTAAAAGACTGAAAAAAAGACATATGGAACCCTTAATGAAAGGCTGGACTAGATAAACTTTTGGTTTTCTTAATGGTCCTGTCTCTCTGAGTGTTGGAAGATGTATGCATAAAAGCATAGCCATATGGAGAGTGTCTGAGTGGTGGCCTCTGTCTTCCTAGTGCAGGAAGCCAGACGTCAGTGTGGAGACGTCTCCATGGGACTATATGCAGAAATACAAAACAAGGGTGTAAAGCAGCTGATTCTATACAGCCAAAATACTGAAGAATGCTAGAAGAGTGCAGAGTCTCATTTGTAGCAGTGTTTTGTAAAAGCAGCAGATTTCTAATGGACAATACAGCATCTTCTAATATACACTGGCTTGTGCCTGTATTGCCTAATAACTTGGGCACCCGCTGGAATTGTTTTCTGGGTTAAATTTGACAATTAGCTGCTATTTGGACCACTCTGGGTTTCTGGATGCGGTTTTATTCCCTGAATTCATTCAGGAAATGATGGCCCACATCAAAAGGCCATTTTTAAGCAAAAAATGTATGTCAGTTATTTTTTCTGGTTTCAATTTAAAATGGGGAGATAAAGTTGGCAGTGATGCAAAGAATCCTAGATTGAATAAAAACAATTTTTATTTTGGAAACCTCTGAGAAACGCTCTAAGGGTCTCACTATGTGAGAAATATAGCTTCTTCAGACCAGACAGTAATCCTCAAACCCAGATGAATTGGGCTCAAAGGAAGGCAGGAAGCATCAGTACTTCCTGCTGTATTTAAGAGGAGTCTTGTAGGAAGGAGAAAGGTTGCAAAAGGAAAAAGTCTTTTGTGTAGATCATTTTGAGAGTTCTGGTGTCCCAGGATATTTGTTGGAGAACTTCATCTTAAACCACTAAAACAGGGAATAACATCAGTACTTCTGAAATGACTGGGCTCTACTTCTTCTAAACCAAGAGGACAACTTTTCTAGAATTATAAGAAAAGAGAGTAGTTTGTTAAGTAGTTGGTATAGTAGCAGTGTTTTAATTATAAGTATTATGAGAGATGCTTGGAAACTTGGTTTTTTCAATGTAATGGTGTGGAAATTACTGACTATTGCTTGAAATGAATTGAATTTTGTTTTCCGTGTGCTTCTTTTTTCAGAAGAAAAGCTACAAAATGAAAAAGTTTCAAAAGAGATGAATGAATTTATCAACAAAGAACAGAATAGTAACTTAGCATCACAGGAGGCAAAAGAAATTGAAGCAGATATGGTTAATGAAAAGAAGAGATCTCCAAATGCAATCGCACCTGATGTAGAACTCAAGAAAGAGGGTAAAGAGAGGACAGGAAGGAGTGGGTCAAGAAGCTCTAGCAGTGGTAGCAGCAGCAGCAATAGCAGGAGCAGCAGCAGTAGCAGCACAGTATCCAGCTCATCGTATAGCACTAGCTCAGGTAGTAGTCGCAGCACTTCACGTTCTTCCTCTCCCAAAAGGAAGAAGAGACACAGTCGCAGTAGGACGCCATCACATAAAGTTAGGCGCAGTAGAAGCAGGAGTTACTCCCACAGAAACAGGAGAGAGAGGAGTAGGAGCAGGGAGAAAATAAGGGAAAGGAGAAGAAATCACAGTGCTGAAAGGGGGGAGAGGCGGAGAAATCGGAGTCCTTCGAGAGAGAGAAGCTGGGATAGACGTAGAAGTGGCAGCCGCTCAAGAGACCGGCGAGCCAACCGTGCGAGCCGCAGCAGGAGCAGGGACAGACGTAAAGCTGAAGACCAGCGTAGAAGCCCTACTGGAAATAGGCACAAACATAAAAGTGAGGGTAAAGATCAAGAAAGGAAGAAGGAGCAGGGTGGAGGTGTAGATAAAGACAAAAAAAAGAACAGAGAAAGGGAGAGAGATCAGGAAAAAAGAAAAGATAAGCCCAAAAAAGAGGAAAAAGAAAGTAAGGCTGGCAATCATGATGACAGTAGATTAAAGAGAAAAAGAGACAGCGAAAGAACTTTCTCTCGCAGTGATTCAATATGTGTGAAAATAATAAGACAGGATTCCAGACAAGAAAGCAAAAAAATTACTACCAAAGATAGCAAAAAACGATCAGGCTCTGAATCTAGTGCAAGGAGTAGTTCTGAATCACCAGGAAGCAGTAAAGAAAAGAAGGCTAAGAAATCGAAGCATATTCGGTCATGCTCCATGGAGAAATCTCAAAGGTCTGGTAAGAAGGCAAGCCGCAAACACAAGTCTAAGTCACGATCAAGGTAGTATACTTTTTAAGTATTTTGTCTGACTTTTAAAAAGTTTTTTTATATTCGTCTTCATGTGTACGGCATATGAACCTTTTTAATAAAGTATGGTATTTATTAAACTTTTTGTCTTAGGCAAAAGTAACTTTGGAAAATCTTTAAAAACTATTAATTACTAAGCCTAAAGTGTGTGTGGGTTTGGGGGTATTTTATTTTTTCCAATTAACTTTTCCCCCTTTTCCTTTATTTTTCAGATCAACAACTCCTCTTCGTCGTAAACGCTGAGGAATTTATGGCACCAGTGCTATGACGTTTAAAAATTCCATGAGTTATAAAAGGCTTGTCTCATTATAGAGGCACATTGTGGCTATGTAGGTGAAACCAGAATCCTTTTTTTTATTTGTAAATAGGTGTATTTTTTCCAAATGCTGCTCAGAATAATAGGATTTCTTTGTATTACATTTTTTCAAGAACGGTAGTGCTTATTAAGACTATAAAACAGGCCATTCTCTTTCAGCTGTAATGTTCTTAAAATTGCTATTGAATGTACTGTGATGTCAATAAAGCTCTTTAGTTCATTTTTTTGTTTAAAATTCTTGCACCTGAATTTTGTGGTAAATGGTAGAAAGTACTTAAAAAAAAAAGAAAAAGGCAGCTTTTTTGCTATAACAGATTTTTAAAGTACTTGAAAAAGATTTAACGTGAAACACTTGTAATCCATGGACATGATAAGATTACTTTATTGGGGGTATGGAAGAATAGAGAAAAGACATCTTATTTTTCTTTAGATATGTGTAATAGATTTTTTAATAACCCTTTTTTTTTTTTTCGGTCTAGCTGGTACTATATGCTGTTTGTGTAAAATATGGGTCACTGTAATACAAGGTATACTTAAACAGACTGAACCCCATTAGGAATATGTGCGATTAACTGATCTCATGTGGCAGTATTAAGCTCTGGAACTATATTCCTCACCCAGTTTTCAGAGAGATCTTTGGATGTTCAGGGATATTACACACATCTTGGAATTTTCGATGTTTTTATGGAGCATGTTTATAAACGTCATTCAGTACGCATTGGAAAACTGACAATAGGTTAACTTTACATTTTGGCACACGCATTAAATGCGTAGTGAATATTAAAGCTGGTTCTTAGTGCCACAAGAATTATGACTCATGTAAAGCTGATACATTGATGTATCAGCAATGCCACTAAATTTTTGATTTTAATATTACCATAAAGTGAAAGAGGTCACTGATTACCTACTTAAGGAAATTGACTATTGCTGTTAGAAACAAGAGTGTGAAATAATACAAGTCAAAAAACAAACCAACAATACCCAACTCTAGGCCAGTGACTGTTACAGAAGAACACAAATTCAGGGAGAGATCTGTGCCTAAAAGGTCTGGTAAGACACCAGTTGTGAAAAAGGTAAAAGGCTTAACATCGAAGTAGGTTCTCTTTGATTGGCTCTATCTTCTAATAAAAAGTGGTACTAGTACAGGCAACTTGGAAAGCATGTCTTCATGAACAGATAAATCCATTTAACTAAATCAGAATTCAGCCATGCAGCTTTTTTCCACCGTAATTTTTTTCATAAATAAGATGCAGAAATAAACTGCTTCAGGGCAAAGAAATACATTTTAACTATGTGTTTAATAAGCAAGCTAATTGCTATTGAATACATGCATGTTTATCAAAACACTGTTACAGATGAATAATCAGTTACAATTTATAACACCCCCCCTCAATTATATCTTTCACATAGAGTAAGCAGTCGTATTTATTAGCAAAATAAGGCATAATTTACAACACACAACTTTTACTTGCATTGGTAGGAATATAAATAATGATGTATTGATCCAATCTCACTACACTCTTGACTCTGGGTAAGAGTGAGGAATTTTTGGAAAGTGGGTAGCATAACAGTTCAGATGTCCTAGGAGGATGTCTTGTGAGAGACAGAAAGAAACTAAGAAAGAAATAAGCTTAAGAAAAGCTGTTGAGGAATACAGTTTCCAGGATGCATTGAATTTGATTTTCAGTTCAGATTTTATATACTCTGTCTAATAATAAAAAAGATTGTGTATGGAAAGCTTTATATACTTTGCCAACAACTGGAATTCTGTCACTTCCTGTAAATATGAAAATTATTTTTTTGACACAAATGCACTTCTATGGGTAGTGACTGTATGCCAATAAAAAGAGCATACGATCTCTGTATTTAACTGTTTCAGAAATCTTACTATAACGGCCTACTCATCACTCAGTAATTAAATACACGCCGGTACTCTTGTCAGCATCACGTACATTAAACTTCTTGGGGCTTTGGAAACTCCCCTTAGGAATGTTTTTCACCAGAAAAGGCTAAAATAACAACCGCTCTTTTAATTCCATACATCTGAAGTTATCCTAAAATGTGCAAATACATACAAAAATGGAAATGTATAGTTTTAAAATGAATGCTGCAAAAACATTTCAGTGCACTACAGGAAAGCAATACATAGGATTTTGAATGTCATGCAGCAACATGACATTTGGAGGCTTTTCCCTTGAAAACTTTTTTAATAAATGAGGGATGGTGTGGAATCAAATGAATAATGATTTCCATGGAAATTGTTCTGAAGGTGAATACAACCAAGCCAATGTCCATATGTGCCCCAAGGAGCCCGCAACACCATGTAAGAACAAGAATTAGCTGTGGCCATGGATAGGCCAAAAAAGAGTAGTTGAGTAAACATTCTGACTTTAAAGATTGAGCAACTACATGTGTTTTGAAATATGGCACAATAACAAAAACTGTTCTGTGTTTGAGGCTCTGTCTCATGGAATAGCTACTTCTAGTTTCACACAAGCTTGTCCTGTTAAGTAGAATACATGGCCAGTGTGCACGTATTTGCTGCTTGTAAACAACTCTAAAATCAAAAACATAAAAGCAATGGCAACGTAAGGTTTGGCTCTCTTGCTCAGATTTTGCATTTGCTTTGCTAAATGAATGACAAATAATAAAGTTGAATAATATGTGGATGCATGATTTGAAGGAAGCCTTAGTTGTGTCTCTTAAGGAGGCTATCCATAAAGGATTTGTTGGAGCTCTGTTTTTTTCAGTTGCTCTGAGGTGTTATTAATGACTCGTAACTCCAGTGCACGGTGAGCTTTGTTGGATAGAAATCAGGTGAGTAGAAAAGTGAGGCAGGTACATACTAAGCAGGGTTGCCATATGTTTAATTGCTGTCAAGACAAGCTTTTTTTGAGCCCTTTCAGCAGTCCTTATTTAGATTTAAAAAGAAAATAATCCAGACTTTCACTGCTACATGAATTATACTGTATTTACAGGAGACTTGTAAACAGGCAGATTTCAAGCAGTGAGGGTTGTATTTCCAAGCAAGGTCAGTTCATAAAGCAGGCTGGCACTGGAAGGAAGTCAAGCCAGGACTGGTTATACTACTCCAAATTTCCTGAAGCCCGGAGGATGCTCCTGCCCCTGGCGTTGTGCAGGCTGTGCCTCCTGCCTGAGGATGCCAGCATCTGCACAGCCAGGCAGGGAACCCGGCCTGTGATCACCTGCCTGGCAGGCACGGGAGCGCTGCCAGCTCTGCCTTCACGGCTTACCTTTGCCTTGCTCTGCACTGCAGCTTTGGTTTTCACTGGGCGTTCTTGTTGGACCTGCCGCTCAATAAAGTGTCAGAAAACTAATCGTTTAAAAAACTGGCTTAATTATTTTCCATTTGTGTGTATCAGCCCTGAACTGCAAGGGTCACTCATTCAGGGCCCTGGGCAGCAGTGCCTGCGAGGGAGCAGGGAAAGCAGAAACCCTTCTCGTTCCTGGGCCACAGCCTGGACTTCCTCCGCAAACCGTGACACGGCAGCCTCGCAGAGGCAGCGGCACGCCAGCTTGGGTGGCTCCCATGAGGGGGCTGCCCCAGGCCCAGCCATGCTGGGGCCCAGAGGTTCTGCTCCGGCCCGCAGTGCCGGCTGCTGGGATCGCTTCCCTCTGAGCCTGCCCCGGGGCGAGGACTCGTACTGCGTGCCGAGCCCTGCAAGCCCGGTGTGCTTCCTGGTAACGAAGGGGGCTGAAAGCTGTGGGCTCGTCGCTGTGTCATCCGAACGAGCCTCTGCTTGTGGGTCTTTTCGTGTTCCAAGACAAGGGAATGACGGGGCACACATTTAAGCAGAGTTGCTCCAGATGTAGCCCTGGCGACTAGTGCCACCGCGGGGGCTGGCATTCGCACCGGCCCCAGCACCGGGCGGAACCTTCCCGGCGCCCGCCCGGCGAGGTAGCCGGCACCGCCGGCCGCGGACCGGGGCGGGGCGAGAGCGGCGGCGGCGGCGGCCATGTGGGGCGGCGGGGCGGCCNGCCCCGGCGCGGCCGGCGGCAGGGGCGGCGTAACGGGGCTTGGCCTCGCCGGCTCCCTCACAGCCGGGCCCCGCAAACCTCCGGCCGGCGGCGGCCTCGGGCGTGTCAGGCAGCTGCCGGCCGCGTCCCACAGCATTCCCAACCTGGCGCCGGCCGGTCGGGAAGGTGCTGTTCCCCTTCCGCCTCCTTTGGAGTCCCAAGGTGTCTAGATCGCTCCATCGCTCACTGTGACCCAAAATCGTCTTCAGGGGGTGCTTTACTCAGGGTACAGTGAGCGTTGCTGTGATTCGGGGGCTGTGGGTGAGCAGGCAGCAGCTGGGTGTGAGCGAGTGTCCTCCGTGCTGGGGAGAGCCCTGCGTGCGCTAAGCAGGAGCGGGAACAATTGCAGGGTCCTGTCCCTGGCCCGTCTGTGCACCGTCCGTGAGCGTTTTTTGCTTAGGTTTCCTTACCGGTTCGTACAGTGCCAAATGAGTATGCGGCTGTGTATGTCTCTTTCCAACACATAATAAACCCAGCAGTGCTGAGTGTGTGTGTGCACAGCTTACGGTCAGGGTAAACATTGTGAGGAAATTCACACTAACTGAAATGTTTCAGTTGCATAAAAAGCTCTTTTCCATTCAGTCTCTGAACGTGGAAATTATGTAAAAATTATTGTACATCATTTGAAGAGTAAGGGGTGGTGAACTAGCATACATTCTTTTATTTAATCCCCAACTCCATAGGTACAATAGTGAGCAAATGTGCAAAGATTGGCATGGTTAGTATTCTACTAGAGCAGCACTCCTACAACTAGGTGTTGTGTCTCTGACTTCTTGTAAAGCTGATGTTTTCCATTTGGATGTCTTTTATTTATGCAGATGACCATGCTGATCTGTCTTTTCAGACGGGTCTGAGAGATACCCTTCAGGACTACAACAGGAAAAGACAACTGAAATCCAGTAGTACCTTGCCTGTCTCTCTGACTGAAATGAAAAGCAACGTGTAAGTATTGTATATAAAATAACCCTGTGAGATGAGGGCTACCCTTTTCTGTAACAGTTGTCACGTGGAGTTGTTTTTATATCTCACATGTTTGATGTGGCCTGTTCTTGTTTTACTAATTGCCAACTTAAAAATTACAGGCATGCAGCCATCTGTTTGGGAAGATATGTTACCCATGAAGTGTGTAATATCTGTAGGTTACTAAACAAGTCTAACTTGAATCTCTAAAGAAACATGAGTTTTACCTTTTTGTATTTTCTGATGCCGTATTTGTTTTTCCCATATTTCAGCTGACATGGAACCTTAGTATTGGTTTAATGATGTTCAGCTTTCATTATTTAGGTTCACTGGGAGGCGGCCTTTCAGCACTTCACACTCATCAGTGGATTCAGAGGAAATGAAAAAATTCCAGCTCCTTGCACATAAGTGGTGGGATGAAGAAGGAGAATATGCAGCCCTTCATTCTATGAATGATATTAGAGTGCCATTTATTAGGTATGGTTTTGTAGACAGATTTTTTTTAATATGTACTATTTCTGTATGACCTCAGAAAATACTGTAAAAAAAGCCAATTACTGGTACTTAAGATAACTACAGCATCTATTGAAGCACCTTGTGGGTTCGACCTTACTCACATCCCTTTTCTTTCAGAGATACTCTGTTGAGCATGAGTAGTAATTATCATCTGGGAAATCCACTTTCTGGAATCAAGATTCTTGACGTGGGCTGTGGTGGAGGACTGCTGAGTGAGGTAAGAAACAGTGAGCTCTGTGTTTTCTTCTTAAAAGGTGTGCAAGGTATTAGAATTGTTGTACTAATTACACTGCCTAATTTCTAATCCTCAAAGGAGGACTTTTTCTCTTCTGTGATATGTTAGTTACTGAGTAGAGTGCAGTGCACTCATACAAAAAACCCCATAGTGTGTTTAGCATAGTAATGGTGGTTTACAGAGAATGAGGAAGTTGGTAATGAGAAATTCAAAAATTCTGAGATTTTAAACCAGGAAAATAAGATTTCAAGCACTGTAAAGTAAAGGAGAGGGGAAGAATGATTAAAAAGTCCTTGAATGTTTCTTTCTTTATTTTTCTTTTTTTTTTTAGGCAGGAATACTTGGAATCGTGACATTCTCATTACCAAAGAAGCAATTTTTGTTATAAACTTGTTCTTCCACATTCGTTTATTTGAACTGCTTATCTTCAGTGTTTTACATGGGGGAGGAGATTCTCATCTTTGATTTGATCTCATGGGAAATGCATGGAATAACATCAAGCACCCAAATCATACCTCTCCTGTGTCAGTAGGGATTGCTGTGGTAAAGGGGCTGATGTTACAGTGGCTTCCAGAGAAGTCTGCACAAACTTGGGACTGAGAAGTTACTGTTTGTGGTGGAAGGCTGTCCACACAGGCTCTGAACAGTGCTGTGTCCCATCAATAGACTAGGGATGGTTTGTGAATTTAGGGTTACAGATCTGGCTGACTTACTCTGGAAACTTCCTCAGCATCTGAAGTGAGGTATTACAAAGGGACCTGAATCTCTCCCATGTTTTCTTTCTTGTTTTTTTCTCCTCTTTTGAGCAAAATCTTGTAGTCTCGTGAGAGGGGTCTCTCCAACAATGCTGGCAAAACTGGTGTGCTGCATCACCTTCTCAGGCTGAGCAACTGGTGAATTTCAGGTTGGAATATCATACATGTGGTCATGTTCTACAGCCTGTTTCAGTTTCAGAAGAGTTGATGACTAAGGTGCTAACCTTGGAGTAAGAAGACACTGGAGAAACCTGAGTGACAGCCAAGGCTGATGCTATCCTAGCAAACATCAGTGTTTAGTTCTCAGCAGTGAGAAAGTCCCAGAGATAATCATATATTAAGTAACCATTAAAAAGATATGAGGATTTACCATTACAGGTGGATGTTGAAGAAAGTAATGACAGTAATTAAATATGGCATTGTTTTCCCCCCCTTTAATTACTGTGTTGATTTTCCCCCTTTGTTTTTCCTGTATCAGAGAGTAGTAGTGGAAGAAATCTTTATTTAGTGTAACAAAATGAATTGAGAACAAATTATTCTGAAAGACAATTTAGATGTGTGTATAGTCCACTATATAATTTTCTAAGAAAATTAACACCACCTTTCCCAAATCAGAGGGTGTTTTTACTTTAATAAACATTTTAAATAAAACTGCCTGATCAGAGCTCATAATTTACTGTTGTTTGTCATGTGTTGATGCTTTCTGCATCTTGTATGTACATTGCAAAGTTTCAGAAACCTTTAAGTAAATTGTTTTCATGCAGAGAATAAATTACACTCTTTTTTATTAGCCTTTAGGTAGACTGGGAGCTTCAGTTACTGGAATTGATCCTGTGGAGGACAACATTAGAACAGCAGATCGGCACAAGTCATTTGATCCGGTCCTGGCCAAGAGAATACAGTACAAGTCCAGTTCACTGGAGGAGATTGTGGAAGAGTCTATGGAAACCTTTGATGTAATTGTAGCTTCTGAAGTAGTGGAGCATGTGGCTGACCTTGAAACGTTTATCAAGTGTTGCTCTCAGGTGTTAAAGGTAAGAGAGTTTTTGCTTTCATCATTGGGAATATTTATTCTCTTTTATTACTGTGGCTTTTTAAAATGAGTGTGAAAATACATCTGCACACATTCCTCCACTAAGTCAGAAGCATGTTCTAGAAGTGCCTTCCATTCTTCATGATGCAAATACTTCTCCCCAGATTCAGTAACCACAGTTAGGGGAAATTTATTTCCCCAACTCAGCCTCAGAAAAGTGTTAAGGCTTTACCTAGCATTGCAGATTTGCATTGCATGTGAACCTTAAGAAATCTGGGTGCATCTGATTTCACACAGGTGAGAGAATATGTGGCAGTGCTGCTGTTGATGGACAGCTATGGCTCAGACTGCCTGGGAGCTCTGTAATGATGTTTCTGACACAAGATTTTATTCCAGAACTAGCATCACATCAGATGAGATCCTAGATTGCTCTTAAAGGTTCCTAGTTAAACTTTGTAGATAATCAGGTGGTTATTCATCTTGATACTGGTTCATTTGCAGAAGAAGGATGGTAAGCTCAGCACATAAGTGGGAGCTTTTCTTTGATCTCTTTATCTTTCTGGTCATCAGAAGAAATATTAGTTATTTCAATTGAATGCACTACTAACTTTTAGCCTGCTAGGAACAAAGAAATTATCCCTTATTTCTAACAAATAGTCCTTTAAGGACTTAGAATTTTTTTCTGGCTTTGTTTCTTTGCCCATGTAATTATTAAAACAAGTATGACATGGCATTTAGCAGTCTCAGAAATTAAGGAAGTATTTCACATTTTACCTTGGTTTCAATTATAAAAGCGGTTTGTGGTTTTATTTTGGTTTTTTGCTTCATTGGGTTTTCGGGTTTTCTGGGGTGGTGGTTTTTTTTTTTTTTTTTTTTTTTTAAACAGTAGCTATTGTATATGATTTAATACCTTTTATTTATCCATTTCCCGAGCATAAAATATTATAAGTGACTTTTCTAGGTGTTCTTTGGGCTAGGGAATAGTTTTTAGGCCACCCAAGACCTGATTATGTTGATTCTTTGAAGATTCCTGAGACATACTGTTAGAAAATTTTATTCTTTCTTGTAGTAAAATGTTACAATTATCTATCCTGGGATGAAATTACTTCTTAGTCTTGCATTGTGTATACTGTGACATAGACAAATGAGTTGTCTAAATGTGATTAAATTTACAATTTAAAAAAACCCAAAAAATTCTTCTAATTGAACATTTTAATATTTTAATTAGCCTGAAGGTTCTTTATTCATTACGACAATCAATAAAACACAATTGTCCTATGTCCTGGGAATTGTGGTTGCAGAAAAAATAATGGGGATTGTACCAGAAGGAACACATGAATGGGAGAAATTTGTTCCCCCTGAAGAGCTGGAGCGCCTCCTGGAATCAAGTAAGTTTCAGGCCAGATGGTGGGAATGGGGAGAGAGATCCATATGGTCTCTTTAGGAATGGCAAAGGGATAAGTTAGGTGGGGTGAGTGCTACCAGCAATATACAGCTTTTCCTGCCTGAGTTAACAGTTGTATATTAAGAGTATCATTCCTGGTTTAAAGACACTGCTGCTTATTGGATTTTGCATAAAATAAATTAAATTGAATCCTAAGAATACAGTGATTACTAGAACAAAATCACTGTTGCGGCTGCCCTCTGTTTAATAGCCTAAATAAAAAATTCCAGTGTTTTCCATTGTGTTCTGGTGACAGAATGTATGCTCTGAAGTGGTTCATAAGCTCTAGGTCAGGTTTGAGGAATTAACTGTGTTGGCACTCTGGGGCTGCACTGCTGCCACTGCATTGTTTGTCGCCTTTCCTTTGGGAGGAGGCGTTTTTATTTTTGGTTTGCTGCTCTCTATTCATATTATGTTACTAAAAGATTTCTTCCAAAATGTGAAGATGAAACCTACCACAAATTCATTAGTCAGTTCTTGAGAAACTCTGTGATACTGATTATAATTGTTTCTAATTAAATTACCCTGGTCTGATTGCTTTTAAAATAGACAAAGCACTGAGCTGGGAAGACTTCTGCCCATTGCACTCCTTCACCACAGATGTTTTAAAACCCTCTCACCAAATATTTCACTTTGCTCTAGTTCACTGCAAAGAAGCTGAAGTATGAGTGGAGCTATTCTCTTAGCAAGGTCTTTTCCTGGCACTTTGCAGTGATGCCATAAGAAATATGACTAATACTGGTTCACATACTGATGGTTTTTTTCAGTTCTTCCTTTGAAAGGAGAAGCAGGTGCAGTGGGTGATTTGTTTTGATAGGGTGTTTGTTTTCTACCTTCCATCCTGTATCCTGCTGGGACACAGCAGATCCATGCAGCGAACTGAGTGCTGCTCAGCTGGGAGTGATAAATCACACTTTCTTGCACCAAGTCCTTGATGGCGTTAACGTGCCTTTTTCTTATATTTTCCAATCCTAAAGGGAATCTGAAGAATCCTTGTAAAGATGTGCTCAGATTTTCATTTTGGAGCATGTGATGTCAACCTGAAGCATGTCTCCACCTCCAGAAAACATTACCAGTCAGCCAGATGGGCAGGTGTGAGGCTGGGGTTTTCAGCAGAGCCCTGTAGCTGCCGGTGGTGCATGGCCTGGCACAGAGCTGTTGCAGCCACCTCCAGGAGCAGGACCTGCTGTCACCAGCGATGCCAGTGGCACTGCACGTGGGGGTGTCTGACAAAGGCAGCTCCCCCCCAGAGCTGCCCAGCAGGAGAGCTGCCCAGAGGGAGAAGCATGTTTCAGACTTGCTGTTCTAAAGAGCTTGATGTTGCAGTGACTTACAATATTTAAGAGCATCCGTTGCTTTGTATGGCTTCTTTCTTTCCTAGATGGCTTTTCAGTCAGGAGCGTGAATGGGATGCTGTATAATCCGCTCACGGGCTCCTGGAGCTGGGTGGAGAGCACCAGCCTGAACTACGCGCTGCACGCAGTCAAGTCTGGGGCTCCGGCGCAGTCACACGCCACAGAGCCCCTGCCAGAGACAGATGTTCAACAGCACTCGGCCACAGCTGGCACAGCTGGCACCGTCCCAGGCAGAGCTGTCTGACGTGTGTGGTGATGGACTGTCACCAGAACAGAAAATGAGCTTTTACTCGGATGGACACAATAAAACCTTTGCCAACAACAAGCTTCCTGTTTGCATCAATATACAGGCGCTATTTTTGGTCACGTACTTGGGGCGCTCTGAAAAAAACCAAGTGCCCACTATTATTGTAAAATCAGGCAACCCCAACGTCTGGGAATGATTGGCATCTGACTCCATGGCTTTGGAATGTTGAATGCTCACTTTATTAAAACTATATTATATTACATTATACTGTATCAAAGAGATACATAATATATTATACTTCTAACTACTCAAAAACTAGTGACTCTGCCCGAGAGTCCCAACCCACACACGTGGATCCAGTTGGTCACCTTGGGTAAACAATCTCCAGAATACATTCCACTTGCACACAAACACAGGAGCAGCAAATGAGATAAGAATTGTTTTGATCATTCTTTTCTCTGCTTCTCCAGGAAAAACCCTGAGAGAGAGGATTGTCTCTCTCTGTTCAGAGAATGTGAATCCCACACACTATCTCAGGAATCATTTAAGATTGAAAGGAGCAAAAGTTTTAAAGAGTAAGTATTTTCATGAGAAAATAGTTTCAAATTGTTGGACAGGGAAATGCAAATTATTCTGTTGGTAGCTTGGAGGGAGCTTTATTAGTAGTAGTGCTTTCAGTCCTGCTGGTATTCAGTTCTCCATAGAATAATGGCGTAGATGTAGAGTGAGTTAAAAACCACAATGCTGTACAATAAATAAAACGCCTTAAGTATTTAAGATACTCAACTCTGTAAAAAATATATGAAACTCTTAAGATCTGCAAAGACTTTTTTCTGTAATACACCTTTCTCCCTGAGCAGGGCAAACAAAATAGCAAACCTTTACTGTTGAGTCCTGCTGTTTCTGTAACTCTGAAATGGAAGAAGAGTCTCTGAGACCAGAGTGCCTCAGCTGTCAAAGCCCCTTCACAATAATGATACTTGTATCTGTGCCTATTTTTCAACTTTCTCCCTCTGCCCAAATAAAGAGAAGCTACAGGTAAAATTTTACTAAGCAACCAGAGCTCCATGCTAGAAGAACGACACATTCTGTCCTACAACTGAGGTGCCATGCCTATTTATTCTTAATGTTCTAGAGCCTGGATAAGGAAGAGTCATTTACAATGAAACAGAACTTTCTAAATAAAGTGTCATGAGCGTGTCTATGACTGCATCTCTTTCCTTCTTTTTTTTCTTTCAGCTTCTACACAGCTGGAAAGGTGTCTTGTTTTTGTCTGCAGGGATGAAAATGAAACTTTTTTTCCTCCCTCTTACTTTTCTCCCTGTTTTAGTTGCTTGTGCATTTCTCTTACTTTAGAGGTGTGGTGGGCTAAATTAGTTTTTTACACGTTTGCATTCTTCCTGCTTTGCTGTATCTGCATGTTGCCTTCAGATCCAAGTTTCCTGATGGATTTGATGATGCCCAGAAGAATATAGGTAATTTTAATGGAAATAATAATTATTCATAGCTAATAAAGGTTAAGAAGTAGTATCTGGTGTAATTGCTTCCATGACAATAAGTTCTGCTTCATAACATTTCTGTGGGCTATAGCTTGGCTTTGAGAAGAAGATTCATCATCATATTAAGAGTTCAGTGATTGAGAAGCCACTACACCAGTAAAGAAATTGTTCCAAAGGTTCATCAGTTGAAGCAGTTTAACCTTGGAACCTCACCAGTGGTGTCCTAACATCCTCATTTTTACACTTAAGTACCTCTATCAGCTGCAGTTTCGAGTTTTCACCCCTTAATTTTCTCTTAGATAAGAGGTCTGAGAGTATCTCTACAACTCTTACCACTATGTGTGAGTTTCCCAGTTCACATGCAGTTTTGTGGTAAGCATTGTTTCTGGAGCATGGTGGTGGAACTGGCTGCAACAATTCATGAATGGTTTCACTAATGCTGTCCACAGGAGGAATACATCATTCCCTGTCTGCCTTTCTCCTGCAAAGGAGTCTCTGCTCCATTGGTCATGCATGCAGTGTGGTGCACAGCGTACAGGAGAGGGGTGATGCTGGAAGAAACTGTGGAGTCAAAAGAGATAACCAGTGGTCTTTACTCCAAACTGTGTTCAAGCGTGTTAAACCATGTGGCTCCAGTGAGTTCCCCTAACCAAATTACCAACATCAATCTTACCAACATACTGCAACTGTATGACTCTTGTTTCAAATTTTGCCAGCAGCTCTGAAAAGCACTGATACCTGGACAGATTCCTGAGGTAGATGACAAGGAACACCCCCCAATAGGCAGTCCCTCCTCCCCTGATTTGTTTTGAGACTTGTCAAGTGAAATAAAAATAATGTTATAAAACTGGAATAGAAAGAGCTGATGTTTGGTTTTTTTAGGAGCCCTAAGTCCAGATGTTTGTGTGACTAGCTGTTATCCTGGCTTTCTCATCCTTTCAGTTTTTCCTCACTTCATAGATTCACAGAAGATTCTGAGTTGAGAGGGACACACACAGATTAAGTCCAACTCCAAAGTGAATTACTTATTACTCTCTTATTGTTTTTCATGAAACTGTGAACCACCTAGGGAAAGGGTGTTTTGTTTTGCTTTTTTCACAGTTATTTCTATTGCACATAGGACAAAAAATCTCTGATGCTGCCTGGGTTCTCTGTCCAAGCTCACAAGAGGGATCCTCTTGTGAGGATGAACAATGGCTGGCATTTAAACCACAAGCACATGGACATGGATACCTCTGGTTTTGACAAAAACCTTACCACAACCATCTAATCTTCTGCTCCTACATGTGCATTGAAGCCCTGTCAGTCCAGGAGAGTTTTGAGAGCAGTGTGCACAAATGAATTGGGAGTTCTTGAACAACTCCTTGTACCTTTAGTCTGTCTCCAGACGTCCTGATATGCTCCATCCCCAGTCCTTACCCCTCAGTTTTCTTCTCCTGGGGATTATCCTAACTACTCTGGCTATATTTCATCCCTCTGTTTAAAACAACTTTGTTTTAAAGCAGGAATGATAGAATGTGGCAGAAATCATTTTAATGAGATAACAAACAGTACAAAAATATCCTACACTTGTGAACTGGTGTTGGTGTTTTACATCCCTACCTTTTTCATAAATGTGCAGCTGGCACAGTGTAATCTAATTCAGTACTGTGCCATGAATATAACTATGCACTTGTGCTCCAGAAACTATTTTCTTAAAATCTGTGGCTAGAAACCAATGACGTTTTCACACTTCTGTTAGCTCAGCTGCTGCAGAAATTTCATAGATGCTATTGAAATGGACAGAATTGAAATAAAAGAAATTTGCAAATCTTTTGTCTTTCATTTTGCAACTTGTTCATGTTTATGGAGCCATAGCTTCAATGCTTACAGGAACAGTGATGGTAGGAGGTGAAAAAAGCAATGTTATTGCAGCAGGCATGCACCCAGGACTAGTGGGGAGGCAAGAGGTGATCCTTGCCTTGGGATAGGGAAAAAAACTGTATTTGTGGCTTGGTCTTTTTCAACCTCTGTGTTTGTTTCTAGTTGTACACTCTTGACTCTCCTATTACCAGCCATTTATTCCTGCAACAAAACAAATCAGAGTAAGAAGCTGATCCTGGAAAAAAAAAATCCAGCAGAGCAAACAATGATGTTCTGGGTGGTCTTGGCTATTCAGCTGTGGTTTGGCTTGTTGTGTTGTTTCATCTCTCCCACATTGCTCCACATGGTCCCAGTCCCAGCTCTTTGCTCAAATGGATTCTTGTCTGAGGTGTAAATATTTTTTTTTCTTTCTTCCCTTTTTTTATTATGTTTCCCTGGGATGCTGCTGGTGGTTGTGCTGTTCAGGGAGCTGAATTTTCCCACTGTGGAGGACTAGAGCCATTTGGGAGATAAGCACTGGGAGTAAATGGGCAGGGAGAAGATGGGACAGAACAGCCCCTTGAGGGGCAGTAGGCTTTTAAGTTGGCTCAGTCTGTCTTTTAGAACAGCACATTCAGATAATAATTGACACATTAATTGTGCTCAAGTCCAGCTGGAATAGTATGAGAGCCTCAGAGGAGATCTGCATTTAATCTCCTTTTTAAATAAAAATACAGCTTGAAGTTTCCATGGTTCCCATTATGCTATCTTATTGCCTATTGTTCCTTTGTGGTCCAGTGACATTTCATGGTCATTTTTGCAGGACTTGACAATTTCTTTCCTCTACATTTCCACTAACACCCTGTGTCAGGTTCCTTGGGGGTGGAAAAAAGGAGAGAGAAAGGAGTGGGAAAGGAATTGTGCAGTGGCTGTGAGCTGAGATAAGAATAATGAATATATTGTTGGAAGTTTTTCTGGAAATGGCTTCTGAAGTTTTTCACTCTGTTGAAATCTCAGTTTTAATTAAAAAGAAAGGCAACAAACAAATAAACTTATTTTCCATACACTTTTAATAAATGCTTGAAAGGAATAATCCCATGCAGTCTTGAAGTTCAGAAGTCTCAGTGTCTTAATTAGCCTGATGAAGCAGACTGGAGGAGAAAAACTGAGACAGAACATTAATTACTACGCAGGTGCTGATACTGTATTTTCAGGGGACTGAGAGGTGCCCAGGAGTGGTGCCTGGAATGGGAGAGAGCATTGAAAAGCCAGAAATAGAAGGAGGATGAGCAATGTCTGGAAGATAAGTATGATTCTGATGGAGAGGAGAAATGTGAAGTAGAGGTATAGAAGGCAGTCTGGTTCTAATGTGCCTTTGAAGAGGAACTACTGATGGTTGGGAGAGTGGCTCTGTGTCAGGCTGAAGCGTAAAAGTTCAGGAGGTCACAGCCTCCCACTTGCTTTTGCACATTAACCTCCAGTGTCTCATTCCAAATGCCTACACCCTTGCTGAGCTCCTAGAAGGAAAGGTGACTTACTAATCACGAGTTGCTGACAGATTTCTCATTCATTATGTTCTACAGGTTATAGGACAAAATTCTAATCATTCAAAGTTTGTGCTGATGGTAAACCTTAGTTTTATTGACACGTGTTCCACTGAAGCAATATAAAATGTCATGTTATATTCTAGCAAGAAGGGCTGGGATTTCACCTAGACTGTAAAATCACCTGACCTGTCTTGACTCAAACAAGCATTAATTGCCCAGCCACCTCTCCGTGCATTAGGAATTCAGGATATGATCTCCATTTTATTGTGCTTGTACTCCCCCATGGAGTCACTCCAGCAATATGATCAATATTCACTTGTTCTAAAAAGATATATTTCTTCCTTCCTAAAAGGATTGTGAAGGCCATTAGTGTTCCATTAATAAATCTGAAATCTCTGTTGCATTCTCATGAGGTATATTTAAAAAACCCCAAAACAAACAAACAACACCAAAAAAAACCCCCCAAAACAAAACAAAACCCATTAAAAAAACCAAAACAAACCCAAATCAATCCCAAAATAACTGGGAGATTGAATTGTTAACATTGCCTTGTATGGTAGTTGTATGATAAAATCTTACAATAGTAGAAGATAGAGAAAATGGTGTGTTTATTTTCCTGAGTTAGCATATGCACATACAACCTGGAGACATAAAATAATTAAACAAAACATACAATAAAGGATACTTCAGAAGGATGTATCCAACTCAAATGTAATCTAGCAGATTTACCTCAAATGCCCTGTGATGAAGCATAGCCCCAGCACTGAAACACAGGGTTTAATTTCCAGCTTTGCCTTCCAGCTGTTGCAGAAGTGGCAGCTCAGCACCTTGCCTTCCTTGATCCATCTCCAAGTTATGCTTTACAGAACTGACAGGACCTGGCTATCCCTGGGGGACCCCTTTGGGGTGCTCCCTGCCGTGGTCCCCAGCTGTAACTGGGGAGGTCCTGACCCAGATGAGCACATCCACAGCACCCAGTGCTGGCTGCTGCTGCTGCAGGAGCACTGAGCACTGTGTCTCTCCCACACTCAGAGATGTTAAAAACCAGTAAAGCCCTATGCTGCTCTCTCTAAACAAAGCACTACTACTTTCGATGTCAAAGACAGGTATGTGTTCATTATCCTCCTCTCAGCCCTCCCAATCCCAACAGCAAAACCATCTGACCTCTCAAGAGCACAAAGCTTTGGAATACTGAGGCAGTTGTTTGACCATGGACTTGTCCAAAGGCCTCTGTTCTGCAGCCAGTAAAAACGACCCCTTGAGTTTAGAATCACCAGAACAGCATTTCTCAGTACACCATAGTGAGAAAAGTCCTGCCAAAGCT